CATGTTCACCTTAAGCTATTTAGTTACCACCGAATAACTAAGAGTAATAGCTTATTTCTCTTACCTTTGATTTCAGTTTACTCTGCCTTGTTATATAAGTGCATACAAAGTCTATACACAATATGACATTGTTTATAATTTCATGCCAAGAGCTTGAAGTCTGAGATCAGAAGAGCTAGTTTTAAGCTCCTGCATTTCTACAAGCTAGCAATTGAACTTACGCAAAGTCACCACATTCTGTACTTCCTAATAAAATCTGGGGGTCACAAAACTTGCAGAAAAAGTAGCTGCAGTTGAGGTCTCTATCGTGTTATCATTAGGCCTATAAATTTAATCTTAAACAAAAAGATGAAGGATGCAGACAAAATCACAGGGCAAAAGATCTGTTCATTTGCAGAAATGTATTCGCATTAACCAGGGACTACCTTCTAATCGCACCATCAGATACTTTTCCTCTCGTGTTTTTCAAGGGCCAGCTGAAGTTTTCAAGTTTACTTTAGAAACAACCTGCTTTTGAAGGCACAGGTTTCTCTCTTAGGCTGACTCTATCTCAGGCCAAATAGATCTTCCTGAACCAAAGCAACTCTCCTCTGAGTCTTGTTCCAGGTTTGGTAGCGTGAACCCACGGTCTCTGCACTCTATGCATTTGGAAACTCAAACCTCTTCCAAGTTGACAATGCAATCGACATACTAAGTCAGAGGTGGAACATTAATTAAAAACTCTCCAAAAATAACATTTGAAAAAAATTTTAAAAGCATCTAATGAATAAGTGATAACATAAATTCTAAATCACCAGAATGGAAGCTTCGAAGGAGCAGAGGTGGTTGTGCACTGTGGTATGTGGTGTGCCTGAAAGTGTGCCTGGCTCACGGTAGGACAGTAAGAACTCAGTGAACACTTGTGGAATAAATAAGAGGAAAACTTACGTGCTTAAAATGTAAAAGTCATAATTTTCTGTACACTTAAGCAAAACAATGAACAAATATGATGATTACTTACAATTTGGGATATCTTTTGGTAAAAATAATAAAAAATGATGCTACGGTCAACATCATGATTGGCATAAAGTAATTTGGGGCCTCCCCTAAAGAAATAAAAGCCTGTGGATAATTATGTTGTCACTATAACTTTCCACATCATTCATATACATTTTTACAATGTAGTATACCTAATTATGCAATTATTACTGTATTCATTTATATGACATAATAATTACAATATTTATTTAATGGTTTGTGTGTATATTAGAAAGTGGGTGTATTTGGTTCTCCTCTGTGAAATACGGAAGGTAAATATCATTCCTGCTAGTTTATAGATGAAGAAATTTAGGCTCAAATTTATTAAATGTCTTATAAAGAAATGCCATATCAATGTTAAGTCCCTGTTGAGGAAGAAAATGTTAATAACTTTAAAAAGTAAAAACAAAATAACTATAATAGTAATGCAACCAGTGTATCCAACTATTGTTCAAAGCCCTTTCAAAGTTTGCATTAATTTTAATTAAATTTCTCAGATGAAAAAACAACACCTTGGCAGAACAAAATATCTTCCACTGAGAGATATATCTAGTAAATTCTGGAGGTAGGACTCTAACCTCTGCTTTCTGACACCAAAGCATGCATCACAAAGCCTGGCAAGCCTCACTCAACTCTTAATCCTATGTCCTTACTGTGACTTCTCTGATGCTTCATGTTGAAATGACGCACACAAATACACTACCTAAATGGATCTTCCTGTTATTTTTATAAATATGACATATTTGGCCCAGAAATTGCATAAGCATATGGAAGTGGTTTTGTTTTCCCATTAATGGCAATGGGCCATCATCTACTAATGGGCCTACATTCTATTCTAAAGTATTAGTTATAAGTTGGTTACTCGTTTGATTAAGGAGGATAGTTGTGATTGTGAAGCTCACAGATCAACTAATTGTGTGTCCTAGTCAATTTTTTGCCCCCCCTTGTTTTTTCCGGGGGGGCAGAATTGCCCAGGGCGGCCCCCCGGATTTTTCGGCGGCCGGTTTTATTTCTCTTCCATGAAAGCTGCTGGGAAAGTTCTGGAGTGCAATAGGAATGTTGCGATGTTCAGGGCAACAATATCCCACAGATTTCTTTTTATGTCTTCTGTCTGTAGCATAAGCTTGCAAACTTTCCAACAGACATTCACAATAGGTACTCGAACCATGTGTAAATGCATAATCAATGACCTTTGAAATAGCACACACGAGTTTTATTTTGAATTTTATACCTTTTCACAATAGCTGACGTTTAAGCAGACACTCTGGAAAGAAAAGTTGGCCAGTAATTAATTCATTGAAGCATTTGAGTGCCTTTTCTCTATAAATTATGGAGTACTAAGTGCCTGGTGTTTATGGTGTACTTTATTCGGGATATTCTAAGTCACTGAATGCAAGCAAGTGAATAGCCAAGCATTTGTTTTGGTTGCCTGGTTGGCTGGATGGTTGGTGGTTTGTTGGGAAGAAGATGTAAGAGACGGTAAAGAATCCAGTTCTCGTCTTCTCATTCTTTCATATACACATCTGCACACACAGACACATACACACTTTTGCTTAGTCCCCAACCCCTTTGATGTTTTGTGTTCAGCTTGGACTTGACTGACACAAGAAACTCCCTGCAGAGAGGTAGGCTTCCTCTGAGCTACAGCTGGTTTCCATGGTGCTGAATCGCCTGTTTAAAAGTACGCTTGGGTCCTTAAGAGCATACAGGGCAACAGTGCCCAGGCCAACCACAGGTCATTCAAGGCCAGAAGGAGGAAGACATTTGGACTACACATGAACAACAGCAGGTCGTGCAATTTTGTTTTATGCATTTTGGCTCCCTTTAGAAGAAGGAAATCTCATTATCTTGTGGCATATATTTTAAGGTCAGTTAATCATGTAGGTTATTTTCACTTTGGAAACTACTTTTAAATGGATGATTGTGATAGCTTGGAGGTTGGATAGATACTTAGAGCTTACTTAGATCTGCAGACAAATACATCTTAAAGCATACATTTCCACCCCCCTTCCTTGAGTTCCTTTAGAGTTGGGGGCTGTAGAAAAGGAAAATGCTGCCTTAAGTTAGTAGTACAAGAAGGAGGAATATTGGGTGGAACAGCTGTTTCTGGGATCCTTAGATTGGTTTCTTTCAAAGCATATTCAAGTAATATACAAGTATAATACCAATTAAGTTACCGGGCATTGGAAATTTTCATGTGTACTCATTTCTTATTTTGTACTGTTCACAATATTTTGTTTTCACCAGGGTGAGGAGAGTCGATTGCATCCAAAAAGCAGGACAGTAGCCTAGAGCACATCTCAGATGAAGGGTATGTTAGTTCTGAGTAGCATTGATATTTTTTAGAGAAATGCTTTGGAAGTGTTTTAGTAAAGAGTCTAAACTACCTAATGAAATGTACATTATCATGATCTATAGTCTAGAAAAACTTAAGTCTATAATCAAATTTAGTATTTGGGATCTTCTCTTTCCTTGATAAATATAACCCACATGCCTAGAGAAAACACAGCTGAAAGTCGGAAACTTTTATTTATTTTTGTAAATGAGTGTGTTTAGCGTCAAAAAAAAAAAAAA